GGGTTGTATAGCAGCAGGATCTGCCCCCTCCGCACATCCCCTGGACGAACCTCGCGCGGCTCCATCTCGTTCCCTGCCCCAGCCCCACTCCCTCCCTCACTGTGGGGGCCTTCATCTGTTCTCTCCCATGCCCTTTCCCCCTCTCCCCCCAAAAAACTTGCCAGCTGGATGCTGATCTCCAAGCTGCCAGGCTCCATATCAGGAATTGGATTGGTATCGGTTGATATGGCTCATTCTGCGCCCCCGCCCTGGCTGGATAGCGCCTGCCCCAGCCCCACTCCCTCACCTCAGGGGCCTCAAATTGTCCCCGCAATGCCTCTTCCCTCCCCGCACCCCTTCTCCCCAAAAAGACTTACCAGCCAGACACTGCTTTTCAAGCTGCTGGGCTGGCTGTATGATTGCTGCGGCTGCATGTGTGCACACAGTATCAGCGGCATTATTGGCCTCATCAACCAAAAAAAGCTGATTGCTCATGCTGTTAATTTTCCTTTTATTGGTGCCAGTGTATCGGTGTATCTCAAATAATCGGCCATCAGTAGCCTCCCAAAAAATCTTTATTGGTGCACCCCTAATTAAAAGATGTATAAATGTGCGAGCAGGTGGAGAACATCCCTTAAGTTACTGTTGAAATTAAAAAATATTTCTCATTATTATGATACAAGTGCTTTTTAGCTTTTCCCCCAAATACAGAACAGAGATTTTTATTGAAAACTTGTGCCTTTACTCTAATTTTATTGACAATAGTACCATTTTTATTTGTTCTGGGTATAGTTGTTGTTATTTTTTAATCAGAGGCAAGGATTTCTTAGGGTGATATCTTTGATTGGACTAGCTGTATAGCTGGGATACAGTTAGGCAAACTTTTGAATATAGGATATTCTTTTTATCAGCCAGTCTCTATATACATTTAGTTTTGATACATGCTGACAAGTGACACAGAACTTCTTATTTTTGTTCATTGTACTTACTTCATTTGAAAGAAAGTAATTTCATTGTTCTTTGGATTTTTTTGTAATGACTAGAGCTGAAAAATGAAGCACTAATAGAAGAATATGTGCTTTTAAGTTTTTTGTTTTAATGTTCTTGAGGGACTTGCAGCATAGTCTAGTTCAGTGTTTCCAATTTTTTTTTTTGCCCCATGGCACGTTTACTTAAATAGATAAGCACTGCGGCATACGGGACATGGGGGGTGGGGCATGCAGCCAGCCGGACACTGGCCTGGCACACTGGTTGGGAAACGCTGGTCTAGTTATAATGTAGCACGAAACCCTTTTGTCTGCCCCCCCTCAAACGTGAAGCTCCTCCATGTGGCAAAAGCCCCTCTTAGTATTTGCCCCCTTTTGGGGATGCTTTCTCTTTTCTACCTTTTCTTCCTTCCTCTCTCTCTTTCTTTTATCATATCATTATTATTTTTATATAAGGTGTATTTGTAGTGAAAATAGAGCTTGTAGATGCTTTTACAAATGTACTTTAAGTTTAAAAGTAAGTTGTACCATGTAACAATGTTAGCAAGAGCAGGAATCTCTGTATGGAGCAGGTCCCTAAATGAATCATGGTTGATTGTGTTACACAGTAGCTAGTCTGGATAAGTATGTTAATGAGCGGCAATTAATACCTACAAAATCAGAGACCAAGGAAAAGAAAGAATCAATAAAGAGCCAGGAATTCCCAGAAACTTCCTGGAAAAGGTACGGGAGCCCCCGTTTGAACTAATCAACGCTGGAAACAGACCCTTGGGGCTGAAATGCCCCCTGATCAACCACTTCCAGAGCTCTATTCATCATGGCAGTGAATTGATCAAAATTCATCAATGGACTCCTGACACTGCACGTACGTGCGAACATGACCCCTGGGGCTGACAGCTGCCATCCAGCAGCTAGCAAGAGGGATGTCCCTCGAAGTTAACGACCCCTGGATTGCATAAGCCCTAGAATTGGTGAGTCACCAAAGTCTGCCAGAGAGGGATAAAAGGCAGCGAAGAGTGACCCCCCAGTGGCGCCCTCAGAAGGACCAGCCGGCAACCCACTTCTGCAGCAACATCGCACTGAAAGAAGCCTCGACTGGCCATTGACGGTAGACTCCAGCGCTTGGGGATAGGTATATCTTGACACCAGTGCTCAGTGTCAGAGCTAGTTACTGTGAGTGTATATGTGTGCATGAATGTGTGTGTGTGTGTGTGTTTGAGGGGATCAGCACCAAGGTTTATGGTCTGACTTTTGCATCCATCTAATAAACCAGAATTTTATGATGATCCTGTGAGTTGGTGCTTTGTAGCCAACACTAGGTTTTTTGCGATGGCTATGATAAGTAACCCTTTATAATATGGCTTCTAGCCCTGTTCTGACTTTGTGATAATATTCAACTTCTCGATGTTAGTGTAGGTCAGTGGTCTCCAACCTTTTTAAGCAGAAGATCACTTCTTGAGAAAGTGCAGCCCAGGATCTACCTGAGCCACGCCCCCTGGCCTGCCCAGTGGTGGGATGCACATAGTGTTGCACCGCTCCTGAGGCAGCTGCAGCAGGGCTTGAGGCCCAGAAACCAGTGCACAGTGGCAGCTGTCTCCGTCCTGTGCACGGATTGAGGGGCATGTGCCCCCCGGGCCTCTGCTGGGGTGTGTGCAGCAGCAGAAGCCCCCACTTCGCACCTGGATGAGCCACCCGGGCTCTGATTGTTCCACTACCCAGTCCAGCTGGTGTCCTACTTGCCGCAATCCCTGCCTCTTGCTCACTGAGGGGAGCCTCAATCTATTTCCCTCTCCGCCTCTTCCCTCTACCACAGACTGACCTGCTGGGCAGGACTGAGGCGCATGCATACGCACATGCACTCAGCTCCCCGAGACTGAGACTGTCAGAGGCTCCAAAATCGACCAGTCATTCATGATCTACCAGTTAGTGACTACTGGTATAGGTTGTCTGTTGCCTTAGATAAGTTGTACTTGAAAGGGACTGGCCATTTGCAGCAACTGGTTGCTAATAAGTAATTGATATTTAAAGAGGTGAAAAGAATGGTAGAAATGTGTTCAGAAGAGCTTTGGGTCTGCTGTATATGTATTAATAATTCTGTTTATATCATTAAAGTGAAATAATTCCTGCATTTGTAGCTTAGTGAAGGTATACTTTTCCAAAGTCAAAATTAAGCTGTTTTAAATTGTTAGTGCTCCAAATTCTACTTTGAATTCACATCCCTTGAAATCTCACTCAAGGGAAATAGTACTACAAGTGATGTAAAGAACTCTGGTTAGGTATGAGTTCCATTTTTTTTTTTTTTTTTGTCAGTGGGAAAATCTTAATAAAATAATCCATTAAGTTAACACGTAGGTTGTACCTTTCATGTAAAACATGCAAAGGTATTTTAAGTATGATGGCTTCCCACTGTATTTAATTTTACTACCAGTGCCAGGCTGGTATGGGGTAGAGGAGTATAGGAATGCATGACACTGTATTGCAGAACTCCAAAAATAAAAGGCTGAAGTCATTTGGAAAGTGGACTTCTCCAGTGGTATTTTTCCAGAGGAATTTTGAAGGTATTGGACATGATTAAGACATGACTAAAGTAAATATCCATTTACATTAGCTATGCTTTTCTATCGGTTTGGGCAAAATATTATGTGACTGGGCAGTCATCCTGTTAGATACCTGAGAAATTAGTGGTGCTGCGTTTGTGAATCTGGTTATGCAGAAGATTCCAAAAATGATCGCAGAAATACTCCAAATTGTACCTTAAAAACATCGAATGAAAACACTAATTTACTTCTTATGTTAGGATTAAAAAAGAGAAGGAAGTGGCTCTTTCTCATTAACGTCTGTAGAATTACAGTATCTGTATCTGATTTACAACAAGTAAGTCAGTGAGTAGTTTTTGCAGATCGTAACTGGTTTGCATAGACACTTACCTCATCATTGGGTTGCATTAAAAACATGTTAGGTATTTAAATATTCTGTATATGTAATTATTCCAAATGTGCTTCTATGAGGATATAAGAATTCCTGGTTGTTACTGAAATCCTGCAACAAAGGTAAAGTTACTACTTTAAAAAAAACCAAACAATTATTCATATTTATTGGGGATATTCAAGATTTAAAAGCTTATGCAGTTCTATTATCATGAAATACATTTTTAACTGTGGTTATTAAATTTGTTTTATAATTTCAGAAACAAGTGTGAGAGCTTTCAGGAACACTTTTGAAAAGTCAATTAAGCTATGCTGTTTGGCGGTGGGGGAGGGGGTTGCTACAGAGGTCTTCCAGGTAGACCAATTTTTGATTGGCTTGTTAATAAGAGAAACAAGGCCTCATCTATATTCAAGAATTCACATTCCATTTCCTATCAATATTTATTACTTGGTTGCTGTTCTAGGAGTTTAATTTTGAGGTCATTAATAATACAGGCAGTCCTTGCACTTACAGTGGGTTACGTTCCTGGAAAAGGCACGGTAAGTCGAAATGATGCAAGTTGAATCTGATTTTCCCATAGAAACAATGTTATAATAGGGGGTTACGTTTCTGACCAAGGGCCTGATGTCAGCTGGAGTGCTGCGTCCAGTTTTGGGCTCTACAATTTAAAAAGGATGTGGAGAAGCTTGAGAGGGTGCAGAGGAGAGCCATGTGCATGATCAGAGGTCAGGAAAACAGACCTTATGATGAGAGGCTGAGAGCCATGGGACTCTTCAGCCTGGAAAAGTGCAAGCTCAGGAGGGCACTGGTGGCCACCTATAAGTTTATCAGGGGTGCTCACCAGGATCTGGGGAAACGTCTGTTCACCAGAGCGCCCCAAGGGATGATGAGGTCAGACGGTTCACAAACTCCTCCATGACCGTTTCGGGCTGGACATAAGGAAGAACTTCTTTACTGTCCAAGCCCCCAAGGTTTGGAATAGACTGCCGCCAGAGGTGGTTCAAGCACCTACTTTGAACACCTTCAAGAGACAATTGGATGCTTATCTTGCTGGGATCCTATGACCCCAGCTGACTTCCTGTCCCTGGGGCAGGGGGCTAGTCTCGATGATCTTCTGAGGTCCCTTCCAGCCCTAATGTCTATGAATCTTATATTTTGTCGGTTAAACTTCAATTTAGGGAATATTCAGAGAGCATTTTTATTCCAACCTATGGGGCTATTACTGTGCAAGTTCTACGTTAATGGAAGTTGTGAAGTCTTAGTCAGGTGCTTTCTGGAAGATTCCTGGGAATAGAGAGGCTACTCAACCCTTTGTAGAATCAGGCCTTATTTAAGGAAATTTCCCATCCTTATGTAAGAATATCTTTCAGTTCAGTTTTGTTCAGTTCGTTTTGCAGAGGTAGCATGTAGCACACTTAGTGCTTCCATTAATAAAGATATTTTATGTTTAAGCTTTTCTTTATAACCTAAAGAAAACAATTTGCTGTAGAATAGTGCTTACTGCAGAGCAAATTAGAGGGTTTGAGATGCTACAGGACTTTCTGTTGAGGCCGCCTGCTCCAAAATCCATAAACGATGGAACCTCAGCTTCATAATTGGTGAGGGAGAACTAAGCCTTGGCTTCAGACCTTTATCCATTTTCAAAATGAATAACATGTAGCCTTTCTCTTCCAGTGAGAGGATCCAAAGGACTCTACATGGTGAATGGACCACCTAGTTTTACAGAAAATGCAACGTTTGAAAGGTACTTTTTTGTTTTAGGCAGACAAGGTTCCTTGGGTGAATTTGATATCTTTTATTAGACCAACCCAAATGGTTGGAGAATAGTTATTAAGCAAGCTTTCGGGTTCAAAAACCCTTCATCAGGCTAAGGAAGCTGCAGCAGTTGCTGTGTGCTCTTCTTAGGCATTTTGGATCTTTTGCAGAGAATAAACAGTGTTTCCCCTCCCCCCTCAATATACACATTTTAAATTTAGAGTGAATATAAAATCAGAATTGTTGCATTTACATTAAAAAAACCTTTAATAAAATGACAGTGGTAATACTGAGCAGTAATATTGAGCAGTGAATGACTTCACCCACTGTCAATAATCTAGCAGATTGGTGGAGTAGATGGATTCATTTTTGCCTATACACTAGTACGTATTGAAAACTGGTTGTACTACTACTGTTGTTCTTGTTTTGTGAAAGCCTCATGTGTGTTTGTTATGTTTGGTTATGTCTTTTAGGGATGCTGGGAAAAACTGCAAAGCTTTTACATTCAGCCAGGATGGTTCTCTCTTTGCTTGGTGCAATGGAGAAAAGTCAGTGCACATTTTATTACTAATAACTTCATTTCATTTATGTTAAGAAATATTGATACTTCTGCCCTCTGTAATGTGCGGTTGTAAATGGAAGTGTTTGTGTGTATTTTATAAAGACAGTTTTTTGCCCTTCAGTTGCCAGGGGTAGGTTAGTTTCGTAATTAGCGGGTACATTGTTTACAGTTGTTTTCACACATTTATTAGGTCACTATTATCATGGTACCTGAATGTGCGGTATTAGAATTTCTGTTTTCTGTTCATATTTCCCATAAGATATATGTCCAACTCCTAGGCCTGGGAGTTTACCCATGACCTTCAATGCAGTAGGGTTGCAGAACTGTTTTTAGGCAAAACTCTTGAAAATCAGGTAAAAGAGATTGCTTTTGATGGGGAGGGAATTTTTTTCTGAATATTTGGGCTATCTGCAGTTACTTTATATCTGTCAACCAAAGTTAGATTTTTCAGTACAATAAGCAATAATTTTTTAAAAGGTGGTACCTGAAAAAAATCAGGCCTGAACTACTAGATATACTGGTGCCACCTGAAAAGTTGGTAGGAATTAAAGCATTTCACAGGGCCCATAATTATTGGCTAAATTGAGTTGCTTCCTAGTATGAAGTTCATTGGTAGCAAGTGGAGAGATTAGATAAGCACTTGTTTGGGCGTTTAAGTAGCACCCCCCGCAGTAGTTTCAATCACCTGGAGAGATTCATTTCAATAAGGTCAGAATATTGTTATGACTGTCCCTTCCAGCGATACAGTTTCTGTAATAAAAGATATCACCAGAAAAAACCTTACTTCTCTCATCTTTAGTAAACTTTTCAATTAAAGTGTTTTAAAAAGTACTACATAGTGTAGCAATGTAGTTGCTGCTGCATAGGATTAGTATCTTAGACAACAAATTCTTAGAAGTTCATTGTAAATTTAATAAAAAATAAAACGGAATCCATCAGTCCCTTTGAAGCTTGGCTTTGTTTTGTTTACAATCACTGAAGAGAGCCAGTGAATGCAGCTGGTAGGGAGGAGTCTCTTAATCCAGTTCCTGGAGGCTGTCACAGGTTAAATAGCATTTCATTCTACTTTTCTGTTGTTCTTTGGGTCCCAAATTTCTGCTAGTCTCTAATCACAATTAACATGCTATGTCCATGGCTGCTACCCGACCATGGTTGTTTAATTTACTTTATCACTGATCTACGTGATCTCTGAACATGAAACAATATATAAAATAAATGCCTGAAACCTTCAATGCAAGATCTTCCAGATACAACAGTTCTTTTTGCTCTTGTCTGTCTGTGACCCAGCTTTAACATTAAAAGAACATAGGCAAGAGTTTGTTTTTTCTTTTTGTGGCTGTTTTATTAAGTTCGAATTCAAATGTTGCAGATCAAGAAATACATTTTAGATCTGAGTATTTTACTTATTAATTACATTGTTTGTCCACTTGGATATGTGATCTTACAATGTGTTTTATATGAATATTTAGCCAAGGGAGCTGGGAACTTCATGCATCTGCTAAATTCAGAACAGCTCTAGAACAGCCAAACATGTGAGAGTGACTCTGGGTATTAATTAACCACTCTAATCATGCTTTGTTGCAATGACCTTTCTTGGTTCCAGAGTAAATATTGTGAATGTCACCAGTGCTGAGTTAGTGCATTCATTTGATCTTCCAAAGGCAGTTTGCCTTGAACTCTCGCCAAAGAATATTGTCCTGGCAACATGGCAGGCGTACACAAGTGAGTATTTTCCCATCTGTAAAAGTACATACTGAAAAAAATACATACTCCAGCTGAATCCAGTTTGATGTCTTGTTGCCGAGTAGCTTTGATTAGCATTGCAATTTGGCAAAGAGGTTTAAAAAAAGTGTTTCCTCCTTGTATAGAAAATGAAGTGGTTGGTTAAGTACTTGAAAGATGGTGCCATCTTCTGAAAGCATCTGGTATTGACCACTACTTGATGGAGTTACCAGACTGGATTGAACAGCAATCTGATCTGTTGAGTAAACTTTACATTAAAGAATTAACAGTTGTTGTTAACATGTACAGCATTTTTGAGCACATTGAAATGCCATCCAGACAGTATATGTTCAGGGAGGGACAAGGAATCATAAGACATCTTATAGAAAGAGTTTATTATAAACTAGAGAGAGATGGACTTCTGTGTGGGTTTGAAGAGTGATTGGATGAAAGAACAGGTGTCAGATGTGGGAAGTCATGGAGTTGTGCTTAGTCCCAAATACACAGCTTTGCAGAGACAGGCTTGTAGATATGTTGTGCATAATGAGGAGAGGGGTGCAGTGAGTCATGGCAGTTCTTGAGAACAAGGAGGGCTGTTTTGAATAGGATACAAATATGGCTGTGAATATAAAGGTAATGGACACTGTGAATGATACTTTCATGGGGGAACACAACCTAGAGGATATGGAGAGTTTACTTTTCCATCGTATGCCTAGGGGGTAGCTTTCTTAAGGTTTTGATGGAATTTTTAAGACCTACTACCTTAGTCCTGATGGCTTTATTCTGAGAACTGTAAGGAGGTGACCAGTAGTTGGATGCTGGTAATGACCTGTAAGTATAGTACAGTGGAGGAGCATTGCTCCCAGGTTTTAAAATAAAAAGAGGTGTGGAGTTGCACCAAAAAAATCCCTGTTCAAGAGATGGAATAGATGAAAGCCTTTCTAGAGGTGCACCAGTATATCAGTGCATATTGTATCGGCATCAATAAAAGGAAAATTGACATTATTGGCAATAGACTTTTTTGAGCCAATATGCCTGATAATGTCACCAATAAACGTTGCATGCAGGCAAGCAGCTGCAGCATGAATGCAACCAGGAATGCAGCCCGGCAGCTTGGAGAACAGTAAGTCTGTGTGGGGGAGGGGGCATAGGAGCGGGCAGGGGAGTTTGTGGGGGCACATCAGAGCCCCCCATAGTCAGGGAGGGAGTGGGGATGGAGCAGGCACTGCCCAGCCAGGGTGGGGTGCAGGATGGAGCCACAGGTGGTTCATCTAGGGGTGCCTCCCGCCACTGCGCACACCTCCAGGGGAGGTGCAGGGGGTGTGTGCCCCCTGGATATGTGTGGGACAAGGCTGGGCTTCCTGCTGTGGGCTTGGGGCTGTGCTGCCCTCTTCTCAGCGGGAGGGGGCTGGGCTGGGGCTGTGCTCGGGGCAGGGCAGACAGCAGCACTGAGAGGGGGATCTACAGGGGGGGCTATGGCCCACCCTGTAGCACCACTGCCGTCACCCACTCTGAGTGCAGCCCTGGCACAGCATGCCAGATAGGAAGAAGCTGGCACAGCCCTTGTCCCCAAGCCTGCAGCAGGCAGCCCATCCTCGCCCCGCACACAAATCCAGGGAGCGCGTGCCCTCTGTGACTCCCTGGGGGGTGCACGCAGCAGTGGGAGCTGCTGGCACCCCCCCC